GTCGACCTCTTGTTCGGACAATGCCTGGAGGTCTCGATGGGATCCAACGTGGGTTCGTCCAGGGCCGCAATCTCGGGAACAACTTGATCGAGGTTGATGCTCACGCTCGTGCCCTTGGTCTCGAGGCCCCCCCAGGAACAGCCAGTGCTGGCCTGCTTCGACTTTGGACACGCGTCCCCGCCCATGTCCCAGGAGTGGCTGATGATGGAAGTGAACTCGATGCAGATCCCTGGCCCCTCAAGCTGTATTTTGGATTGTTATATTCGGAGGTCCAATGTCTTGGAACGCTTGGAGGCTCGCTGGTTCCGCTTTTTCTGATCCTGAGTAGGACTATTCAAGGGCGCCCTGGGTCTGGTCTACTCTTCCTGGCGGGGATCGGCCCCCTTTTTTGCAAGGGTTTCGGTGGCTTCGGGGTTCGCCCACGAGGGGGAAACACGGGCCTGTGCTGACGACATAGGGATGACGGTCCGTGACCTGCGGCATCTCCGAGCTATTCGCGGGGCGTTCCGCCTGGCAGAGGAGACCGCGACTCTCTCTTTTAAAGCCTGCTAAGTGTAGCTTGGCCCCGCTGAGCCAGCGCCATCTTGCACCATCAGATATCTCAATGGATCTCGTTCAACATCCCTGAATGGAAAGGCTTTAAGATCACCGACGAAGCCAAATACCTTGGGCTCTGGCTTGGGCCAGGAGTGCGTGGCGATGAGTGGCACGGCCCACAGTTTCAGTATTTTGAGCGCTGCCGCGCGATTGCCGGCGCAGGAATGGCGACGGAGTTGGCGGCTAGCACCTACAACACGCGTTGCACTGCTGTATTGGATTGCGTTTCTCAATATGCGTTGCTCCCAGGGGCTTTGACACGCGCGAGTCCGTCCAGTGTTCGAAGATATTTCACATGCCGCACTCCCGCCTGAAGTGTGCTGACTGGAGATCCGCATCTCTGCTTGGGGTGGTCCTGCAGTTAAGAGCATGCTGGCACTGAACTTGGCCAGTCTTATGCGTGCCGCGCTCTTCACCTTTGACGCCTGGAGGGGCGCGTTCGAGGATTTGAGGGCTGCCGCAACCTGTCACCTCCCTGCCCCTGAGGCCGCCAGAGGAGCCCTCCCCCCGAGCTTCTGGAAAACCCAACCGTTTGCCGAGGTCCTGGAGAATGCGAGTCAGGGGTTCCCCAAGACCCCTGCGTTCAACCGAGCTGGAGTTGCTGCCCTCAGGTCCCTTCGCCGCCTCAGGACTGACAAGCAGCTGCACCCGCAGAAAGTGATGTACACAGTGATTCGTGACACTATCTACCCCGATCAGGTCCATGAAACGTTCACCCAGAGATTATTGGAATGGTTTCCTGACTATCGCGTCGGCATCTTAGGTATCGATTGGGAACGTTTTCGGGCCGTGATCCTCCCCCTCCCCCTGTCCTGGCGTTCGGCTGTAATTAAAACGATTTGTGGGGCTTGGGCTACTGACAATAACGTTCAGCATAATTTACCATGTCTGTTAGGTTGTACCCGAGAGCCTGATAAATTCGTACACTATTGGGCGTGCCCTAGGTTTAACCGCTTACTTGCTCAGAGTCCCGGACGCCCTCTGATTGATAACCCCCATTTACAGGCTCGGCGTTATGAATCCCACCCCTGAGAATCTGGAGGTGGTCGTCCATGCTTTCTTTTTGTTCAATGGGTTGGGTGCTGCTTGGTGGTCCTCGTTGTCCTCTTCCTCCGCTTCCCCCCCCCGCCCTTCGACCCAGCGCAGTGCACCGCCCAGATTCGACTGGCATGGTTCCAGGTTCGTCGCTCGCGCGCTGGCGGCCGCTAGCCAGGGCGGGCCCGCGCCGCCCCCAGCGACGCGTGAGGGGGAGGAGGAGGAGGAGGAGGAGGAGGGGGAGGAAGAGCACGACGAAACACAGGAGAAGCAGCAGGAGGAGGTTGGGCGAGGCACCACCTGGAACGGCACTGGCGGTGGCGACGGGATCTGTGCCTCGAGGAGGCCCCATCCACCTTTGACTAGGCGATCATCGTGGGCAGCATACAAGCACCGCAGCAAGCCGCACCATCTGTTGCTTCGCGCGGTCGTCACCAGGGAGCTGTTGTGAATGGTCTCGGGATCTGACGCGTGCGGCTCTGCAGCGCGTTGATGTACATATCTGCGTGGGGGCGCTCGTTGTGCATGATGCGTACGCCTCGTAAGAACGCACTCCTTGGATCGTGCGATATTGGTGGTGAATGTCCGCACGTGTTATGCACGCATGTATACATGCTATATGATCATGTTTCGTTTGCTACGTTGCCCCTTACGCATGCAGGTGGATAAGCGCTACGACTGCGATACACGACGCACGCATGTATTTGATTTCGGGGGTTTTGCGGGTGTGCACGTTCGTGATGTGGTTGTGCGTGAATGTGTGTATGTGTGTTGCGGGGTTTGGGGGCGTGGTGTGCCTATAACGATGCCAATGATGTGAGTTGCTGGTGCTGCGATGAGTGAATGTATCAGCGTATGCGTTTGGAACGTGGTGTTGCGTTGCATTGGTGCTGCGTGCCCTTTACGTTTGGTATTTACGTGTGTGCATGTGCGTGGTGGTACTCAAGAGGCTTACGCCATTCCGTCGAAAAGAGTCGGCTAGGGGGTCAGGAACCCAGGGGATGCATATGAGCATTCCCTGGGATGCCTCTCGTGTGGCTCTTGGAGGGCTCTGGGGGCATTTGATTAGTTTGGGGGGTCTCACGAGGGGGCCTCTTGGGTACCTCTCGGGAGCCTCTTGGGGCCTTTGGGGGGCGTCCCAGGGGTCACTTTGGGGGCTCTTCGGGCCATCACGGCTGGAAAGACCCAAGATGTCAGTCCGTTTCGGCTTTCGTGGGCCGCTCTCGGGGACCTCCTGGGCCGTCGTAGGGGCCCATGGGGCCATGTTGGGGCCCTCTTGGGCCCGCTTGGGGCTCTATTGGTTCGTCTCGGGGTCCTCTTCGGGGTTTCATGGGCCGTCCCGGGACGATCTTGGAGGCTCCTTGGGCCATCGTGGACGTTGTCGAGACGAAAAAGACGCGCAACACGGAAATGCACGTTTCCCTAAGAGAATGGGGACGGGTTGTGCCTTTCTTGGTGCCCTCTCGTCGACATTCTGGGAGCACTCTTGGGCCAGACCGTCCGACAGCCATCGCGGATTGCCTGTGCAGCCTCCTTGGCACGCTGGAGCCCAGCTTGGGCAAGCTCTGATGGAATATGTAGCATCTTGGAGGCCTCGCAGTGTAGACCTGGAGGCTCCCGAGGCTCCCGAGGCTCCCGGGGAAGGGGGACTGCTGACAGCCACACGCCTTGTCACCCCCGGCAATCGGAGGCCAGCGGACTATCGGTATGGTCTTGATACATGTTCTGGATGCCTGTTCTGTACGTCTGCTCGAGATGCCTGTGGATTGCGTAGCGCCTGGACGGCGCGACGCTGTGGATGGCCCGCGCCTGGCGGGCTTCTCGAGGCGGGGCACGCGGGGGCACGCGGGTGTTCTTCGGGTCTGGCCGCCGCGGTGTGCAGGGCTGGCGAGGCGGGATCCCCATGGATCGCGGCTGGGTGTCCTCGGTCTGCAGGGCTGGCGAGGCGGCCCTCTTGGGGATCCCCATGGGGCCTCGGGGACTCTTTGGGCCTGGCCTCCCGGTCATGCAGGGCCAGCGGGACGGGATGCCCAGGGGTCTCTGGGGATCTGCTGGGCCTGGCGGCAGCGGTGTGCAGGGCTGGCGAGGCGGGGTCCTTAGGGATCACTGGGGAGTCTTTGGGGACCCTGGCGGCCGCGGCATGCTGGGTGGGCGTGGTGGGTCGGGGCGTATTTCCGTTGAGCCAGAGAATCGCAACCTGTCGGGTGGGGACAAGAGTGGTGGAGGATTAGCCCGGGAAGTGCGACCGGGTGCGACGGCATGTGCCAAGCAAAACAGGCTAAATTCCAAGGCGGTTCGCTTTTGAACGGGCCTGTCAGGAATCGCGGCAGTACATGTGGTCCATCGTGAACTTCATGATTCAATCGTATGCCATTCTGATTGTTTCTGGCCAGCTGGAGATGCTCGCGAGCAACCTTGCGGCCGACCCTCGCTTGTCAGTAGGCTTGCAGAAGAAGCCGACATCAACCGCCTTGGAGGACCCATTTTGTTGGCGCCCGCTGTCGAACAAGTTGGGACTGCACGCGTTCGCGCTAGATGTCTTCTGGTGGCGCGCGGGAATGAGCACGTGGACGAACAAGAAGGGCGGATTGGAGAAGTCCGCCCGCGGGTTCGCGGACCGCGGCTCCGGGCAGGAACCGTGCGTCTCGGATGTCCAGGGCTTCGGCAGCAAGGACGCCAAGGTGTACGGAGACTTGTTGGGGCGGGTGCTTTATGAGTTCAAGAGGATGTACAGCGACTCGTTCGCGGCCCGCGTCCTGCTGCCCAAGGACAGCCCTGGAGGCTGCCGCCTCAGCCCCACGGACTTCGCCTGGGACGTGTGCGAGTATTCCGGCGACAGCCCCCCAAGTGAGCTGCTCGTGACCGCGCGCCACTCGGTGGTGATCGTCGTGCGGGAGGCGGACTCGTCCGCTCCAGAGCGCGCCTGGCAGCTCCTCGCCGACGCCGCGGGCGCGGGTGGCGGGGAGGCGGCGGGCCCCGTCGCCGCCCCGGTGGTGGTGCTCACCGTGATGCAGCACGGCGCGGCGCTCGGGGACGCCGTGTGGAGCCCCGTGACGGGCCTCCTCCAGCCCTTCGCGGACGGCATGGAGTCCAGGAAGTACCAGCCGTGGTCGCTGATGGAGGCGGGCGCCGAGGAGCTCCCCCGCGCGGCCAGCGCGAAGGCCGCGCTCGGCCTTTCGCGCGAGATGGCCCCGCTGCTGAGGGAGAGCTTCACGGCCTCCTGGGCGCAGATCCGCGAGCGGCGCGTGGGCGAGCTCCATCGCGCCAAGGCGCAGCTCCACAAGCTCGAGAAGCAGCGGGCCGCGCTGGAGGATGCGAAGGGGAAGCTTGAGGAGTCCGTGAGCCTGCTCGACAGCGAGACCTTCGAGCGGCTCGCCGCAGAGGCGGCTGCAAAGAAGCTGGTGCCGCGGGCGCAGATCGACCAGCTGGCAGAGAGGCTCGCCAGCCACCTCGAGAAGGCAGAGGCGCCTCTGCGGCAGCTGGTCTCCTCCTACTGCGGGCAGGCTGCCCAGGACTCTGCGGCCGGGCCGGATGCGGAGATGCTGGAGGCCCTCGAGAACGAGCTCGAGCGGACGACCCTCGCGCCCGACAGTCCCTGGGTGAATGCGGCCAAGTCGCTGCAGGCCGCCCTGATGGCCGCCTGCAGGCTGCGCAGAGTGGCGATTCTGTACCTTCGGCCTGGCTATCTCATTGCCCCTCTTGCCCGGGGGGTGGTGGGCTGCGAGTCCGCCGTGTCCCTGCTGGAGGCGTCGGCGCGTGCCGCATCGGGCGATGGGGAGCAGAAAAGCAGTGCAGCCGCTAGCCCCACCACTGCCACTGTGGCGGGGATGGGGAGGATGGGAAACTGGGGAGATGGGCGAACGGGCGGGATGAGTGCGATGTGAGGATGGGGGAGGGTGCTCTCGAGGCTGAGGGGGAGAGGAGGACAGAAGCCTGGTCGCCAGTCATTCTCTCATCGAGGGACGTGTGGACCCATGCCCCCGCCTCCCAGGAGGATCGGACGGGCCCCTCAGCGCCTCGCGCCCCTGCCACTCCAATCTGACGTTGCCCCAAAAAAATGCGACCCCGCGAAAAATCACGAACGGATCTCTACAGTGCCGTTTTTTGATACGTGCTCCGCGTGCGGATCATGTATTAAAAAGCGCAGGGATTCAGCATGAAAAACAACGGTGAGCTCATGCATACATTCCTTCATGTATTAATCCTCTATTCAAATCCTATGTGTTTAACATCCCATGTATTAAAAACTGCCCTGTAGACTCCAGACGCTGTCGTTGTGCGCCACCGCTCGGCCCGGAGATCGCACCTGCGAGAGGGCCCCGTGGGGCCCGGGACGGGGCGAACGCGCCCGGCGTTCACAGAAGTGCACGCCAGGATCTTGAGAGGGGCGCAGGGTCGGGGCGCTGAAGAAGGAACCCTCTTCGTTGGGGAGGGGCTCGGTGTTCCTTGATTGTTTAACAGTTTGCCTCAGGTCTTCCTGAGGTTTTTCTTGGGACATCGATGTTTAACTTATGAGAAAAAGGGACCTCGTTCCTTATTGAGGGTTCCTTAGGTCAACGCCCCGACTGTAGGGTCAAGTCGGGCCTGTCCCTCTACGGGAGGAGTATTCAACAATAGTCCAAACATGGCCTGGTGACTACTTTTTGGATATGTTTTGGGTATCTTTTTTGAGGGGCGTAGATTGAAGTCGGGCCTGCCCCTCTACAGGGGGGAGATTCAAACATAGTCGAAAAAACAGTATGGTGGCTATTTTTCTGTTATTTTTCAAGCATCCTTTGGTGAGCACTTTTTGAATGTTTTTCCTTATCTCTCGTCCAAAAAATCCCTCTGCAGGGGGGACTAGGCCCGACCTGAGCGGTAAGGTGACCCCTCCCTGCGCGCCCTCGGGCTGCGGCGCCTGGTCGTCGAGGCGCGGGAGGCGCCGCTCGGGCGTTTGCGCAATGGGGGGGGCGCTGACTCCGAGGTGGACAGACCTCCTACCCTGACACGTTCAGACGACGCGAAGATCGGGACAAAATCGGATCGGGATAACTCGAAATCTCTGAGAATCGGCGGGTTTGGAGGATGTATTGGGCGCCACGGCCGCTCCAGAGCGTTCCGGAACGCTCTGAGAGCGCTCCGGAACGCTCTGGAGCGATTTATCCCGATCCTAGCCCTGTTTTGCTGACACGTCGATTGAGCCATTGGCCGTTTTCGGTTCGCGAGGGGGCGTCGCGGCCTTCATGTCTACGGGTCCAGGTGCGTCGGCTTCGGTCCCAGGCCGTTTTTCACATGCGGATTTTCACTGGACAAAACGCGGATTTCAGGGTTGGGTTTCTTGCGGAGGTTTCTTGTGACCAAGCCCCCACTGTACCCTTACACGTCGATTGAGCAATTGGCCGTTGTCGGTTCGCGAGAGGGCGTCGCGGCCTTCCTGTCTGCGGGTCCAGGTCCGTCGGCGTCGGTCCCGGGCCGTGTTCACGAAGGGAAGGTTCGCGAAGGGGAGGCCTGTCCACCTCCGACGGAAGGGGGTGGGGGATGAAGACCGGTGCACCTCGTCGTGGGGCCCCAAAGCGGCCTCCGGGGGCCACAGTGGGGCCCCGACAGCTGCGCGCCTCATCGCCCGTCCGTCGCTCGGCGGCGTGCGAGGGGGGGGGGAACAAAAGAGGAGGAGGCCTCCTCAGCACCCGACCCGGCGGGACTTCTCCGAAGCCCTCGCGCCTTCTGAGTAGCTCTCCGTGTCTTCGGGGGAGGCCCGGGAAGCTTCTCGGAGGGGCCGGGAAATCCCCGACCCTCTGAGAAGGCCTTCTCCTTCGCACCTCCCCCCTCCCCCCTCGCTCGCCGCCGGGTCGCCCCCGCGCCACGCGCAAAAGCGCCCCAGGCGCTGGGACGGGCGCGCGCGGACAAGGCGCTGGAGGAGATGCTCTCCGCGGCCCCCTGGGGCGCGGGGCCGGGGCCGCGGACCTTTGCCCTGGGCGCGCTCACGGGCGGCGCGCTGCAGGCCCTGGAGCGCGCGGCCGCGGCGGCGACGGAGGCTGGCCGGAGGTGGGTGGAGGCGCCGCTGGCGGCCGCGCTGGCGGCGGGGCGCGGCGCCGCGGCGCTGCGGGAGGCCCAGGCTCGGCGGGGGCGGGGGCCAGGCACAGCTGCTACAGGCAGAGGCCGGGCACGGCCAGAGGCAGAGGTCCTCGTGCCCCAGGAGGGGGTCCCAGCGGAGAGGGGGGGGGGGTGCAGTAGCTCTGGGGCAAGCGTGCTGCAAAGGGATGGCGCCAGAGAGCTGTACTGCCTTGTGTTGCAACGAGCGTGTTGCACGCGAGAATCCGGCAGCACATGTGCGCCCAGACGTGTACCGCACGCCCCAAATCTATAGCCACCCACAACTCTATATTGCACAGCCCCCTTGTCGCTGGACCCACTTGTGGGCCAACCAGGGAAGCCTAGGCATGGCCAGATGTGCTCGCGCCCTGGCGCCATCAGGCCTGGAGGGTTCTGGCCCACTTTGGGCCGCGGGGAGCCGCGGGAAGGGCCCCGCGGGGCCTCGGGAAGGGCCCCGCGGCCCGGGCATGGTCGGGGCGTCCTGGGGGCCCCGTGCCGAAGCAGACAGGACATCGCATGTCTGGGCAATGTGCAGGAGGGGAACACAGACACAATTAATCGTCGATTTCCCCAAAAAATATGTTCCCGGCAAAGCAACCTAACAGCGATGTGTAGGAGCATATCTGGAAGCATTCCCCTTAAGATTCAGATGAGAATCCAGTTGTAGAATCCTGCTGTTCTCGCAGTCGTAGTCGCATTCGCGATGACACTCGCAGTGGCAACGGCAGTCGCAGTCACAGCCTCAGCCTCAGCCTGCCTCAGCCTCAGCCTCAGCCTGCCTCAGCCTCAGCCTGCCTCAGCCTCAGCCTAGCCTGCTTCAGCCTCAGCCTCAGTCTGCCTTCAGCCTCGGCCTCAGCCTCAGCCTGCCTCAGCCTCAGCCTGCATCAGCCTCAGCCTCAGCCTCAGCCTGCCTCAGCATCAGCCTGCCTCAGCCTCAGCCTGCCTCAGCCTCAGCCTCAGCCTGCTTCAGCCTCAGCCTCAGTCTGCCTTCAGCCTCGGCCTCAGCCTCAGCCTGCCTCAGCCTCAGCCTGCCTCGGCCTCAGCATCAGCCTGCCTCAGCATTCAAAATGTGGCCCGGGAATGGAGTTCTGGGAACTCGAAGAACACGAAGTGGCCTACAGTTGGCTCCGGGCATTCAAAATCATGCCCAGGAATGGAGTTCTGGGAACTCGAAGAGCACGAAGTGGCCTACAGTTGGCTCCGGGCATTCAAAATGTGGCCCGGGAATGGAGTTCTGGGAACTCGCCTACAGTTGGCTCCGGGCACAAAACGGGATGGAGTCGGCCTACAGTTGGCTCCGGGCATTCAGAATGTGGCCCGGGAGTGGAGTTCTGGGACCTCGAAGACCACGAAGTGTGTAACGGTTTGCTTAAAACGACTCCCGCGGATTCTCCCCGGCACCCGTCCGGCATCTGCCCAGACCCCCCTGGGGAGTCAAGATGATTTCTTTTGAGCCTACTAGAAACCCATCAGTCTTCGCTGTCAGGTACTTGGATCGGAAAATCTGGGAAGTGGGGGGGGGGGAAGACAAACACCCAGAACATATGGGAACAGATGGGGAATATTTTTATGTGTGTGCATTTCTTTGTGTGTCCTTGGGCCCCTTCAGATGTGTTCGGAGGGCTGCGGCAACAAACGCATGCTCGCCTTCGGAGGTTCGCGAACGGCTCGTGAACGGTTCGGAGCCGTGCCTTCGCGAATCATTCCGGGGCCCCCACAAAGGCCTTGTGTTCAAAGCAGACCGGCCGAGGGGGAGAGGAGGTATTCCAAGCGAGCGGCTCGTGAGCGGCTCACTCTGTAAGAACGGTTTTTTGAAGGCAGATCTGCCCTCAAAAAATTGGTCTGCTCTGTAAGAACCGGTTTTTTGAAGGCAGATCTGCCTTCAAAAAATTGGTCTACTCTGTAAGAACGGTTTTGAAAGGGCAGATCTGCCTTCAAAAAATTGGTCTACTCTGTAAGAACGGTTTTTTGAAGGCAGATCTGCCTTCGTAAAATTGGTCTACTCTGTAAGAGCGGTTTTTTGAAGGCAGATCTGCCTTCAAAAAACCGTTCTTACAGAGTGAACACGTGTTCGCAAACGGTGTTCGGGTCAGCCCTCGGGCAAAAACGCGAAGGCATAGAGTTGGACACCAACACCATGGCGGTAATATTCGGGCTTTCTAGGCGTTGCCGAAATGCGACCATCAATGCCACAATCTAGGATCATCCTCCTCAGGTGCAGGCAAGCCCCTGTGTTGGTGCTGGTGCCCATCCCTTGGCCCCCCCCAAAAAAAATCGATGGGACAGGCCGGGGGGCTGAGATGGCCTAGCCCTGGTTCTGGCAGCGAGCAATGGAGAGGAGAGAGGGGCCCCCTCGCCGCAGCGGCTGCACGCGGCTGGTGTAACGGGACCAGCTTCCACCCCAGGAGTGCCCTCGCCCCCCCCCCCCTCGACCCTCATCTTGTCGGGTGGCCCATCCACCACGGGCTCCCTGCCCCGGGGGGGAGGGTGAGGGGGGGAGTGGGGGCATGGCACAGCTTCGCGGGGGAGCTTTCCGCGTCCCCGACACTGGCACGTGTACAATGCCAGGGCTGGACCTAAACGCTGTGTTGCTGGACTTCGGCTGTGTTTGGTTCTTCGTTTCGGGGTGGAGGCACAGGAAAACAGGCAGAGCAAAACGACAAACACAACGAGCACAAAACGAAAAACAACGTTTAGGTACAGCCCTGTCTAATGCCGCCCCGATTGGAAGCCTCTCGGGCAGGCCGGCTCGGACGCGGAGCTCCTGGCGGGGGAGCTGCGCGCCGCCCGGGAGTTGGGGCTCACGGGGCTCGAGGAGGCAGAGGTCGCAGGGCCTGGAAAGCGTGCGGGTTTCTTCCGGAGAAGAGGGGAGGGGAGGAGAAAGGAGCAACGGTGACCGGGCAGGACGCGTCAAAGGGGGTGGACACACAAGCACATGTACACATCTCTACACATATATATATATATATATATATATATAGACATCGTTACATACAACCTGTGTGTGTGTGTGTGTTGGGGCTCCCGCTCATGCCCGTTCTGCCTTTTGTGTTGCGTGGGGCCTCGCTGATCGACGCGTTTTTCCTCTCATTGCTTGTGTCTCTGCTATCTCTCTCTCTCTCTCTCTCCCAATATGTTTTTTCTTTGGGTATATATCCCCCCTCTTCTCTTTGTATCTACATATGTGAGGGTCAGAGTGGGGGGGCCGAGCCGTCATTCACTGTCCCTGGGCGCGTGGCTGACGTGAGGTTTTGCGGTGCGGACTGTTGTTGTTGTTGTTGTTGTAATCGGTGTTGTCGTAGTAGTAGTAGTTGTTGTTGTTGTTGTTGTTGAATTCCCATTTGTCAGGAATAAATATTGTTGGTCCTCCCCCTCCGGGACCAATTGTGTTTTTCCCTACCTAGGCTCTGCCGAGAAGGGTTCTTACTCTGTTGGCTTACAGGGGCCGGGCAGTGGAAACCGCCCCGGGCGGTTCCCCCAGTCCCCTGGGAGCCAAGCGAAAGCAACAGCAACGGTAAAAGCAAACGCGCGGTTCCCGCAGTTGCGCCCCCTGGGTGCCAAGCAAAAGCAAAGGCAAAAGCGAAGGCAAAAGCGAAGGCAAAGCAAACGCATAGCATACAATAGCATAGCATAGCGCAGCATCGCATAGCGCAGCATGGCATAGCATCGCCTAGCCTAGCCTAGCCTAGCTTAGCCTAGCCTAGCCTAGCCTAGCCCAGCATAGCATTGCGCAGCATAGCATAGCACTGTTAATTTGCAGCGTTTCTGCTACAAGATCTGCGAGTTGCGGAAGGGGAACCAGTCACGGCGATCTGTGGACTACCGGTTATTCGACACAGTCCCTGCGTGCCAACAGTGGCTCGGGCGACTCCACGACAGCCGGGAGGTTGTGGTCACACCAATCTGGAGAAACCGCATATTCCAGCGCCGATGATGCCCGCCGAAACAATGCTGAACAGCTTGTTGCACCGATCTGGGAGTTGTTGCTGCTGTACAGTTTCGTAGGAATGTTCGATGTAGCAAGTGTTGCACAACCTTGCCCAACGCCAAGTCGCGCGGTGTAGGCCGGATTCGGAACATTCTTAAGCGCACCCGGTGAGCGAATGCAAAAACATGCGTGTGTGTGTAGATGCAGATGTAGGTGTAGGTGCAGATGTGGATGTAGGTGTAGATGTGGGTGTAGATGCATATGTAGGTGTAGATGTAGTTGCATATGTAGATTCAGATGTGAGTCTCGCGGTTGATGTAGATGTAGATGTAGATGCAGGTGTAGATGTAGATGTTGGTGTAGATGTAGATGAAGGTCTAGATGTAGATGTAGGTGTCGATGTAGATGTAGGTGTTTATATATAGATGTAGATGTAAAGAACTCCCCAGTCCCCCGCCCTCATCTCCGTGCCTGCTTGCTTTTGCTGCTGTCTCGGCGAGTTGCTGCCTGCTTCTGCTGCTGCTTCACTTGCGGCGTGGCGTCGCCGGTTCTGGCGCTAGTCCTACTACTACTAATACTATTATTACTACTACGACTACTACTACTACTACTACTACTACTACTACTACTACTACTACTACTACTACTACTACTACTACTACTACTACTACTTCTACTACTTCTACTACTACTACTACTACTACTACTACTACTACTACTACTACTACTACTACTACTACTACTACTACTACTACTACTACTACTACTACTACTACTACTACTACTACTACTACTACTACTACTACTACTACTACTACTACTACTACTACTACTACTACTACTTCTACTACCGCTACTTCTAGAACTACGACGATGAGGAGAAGGGGGAGGATGGCGTTTACCGCCCCTACTAGTGTTGCTTTCGCAGAGGCTCCAAGTCACAGGTAGGGTCGCACTGGGGCACTTTCAATTGAAGTGCCTTTTCACGGCGCTCGCACCCTGTTACTCATGAGAGAAAGCCTTGAGGCTCAGAATTCGGTTCTTTTTTTGCCGGCTTTATTACAACGACAACAATAATGTACAGTTTGTTCGCTCTTACTGGGACGCGTGTTTTGCATTCCGTATACCCCAATCCTCGATAGCCGCCCGCGTCGTCTTCGATCGCACCCCCTTTCGGGGGAATCTCTTCCTCGTCGGCCATTGAATGCAGTGCGAGGAACTCAAGCGAGAGTGCCGTTCCTGAGTTCGGGGGCCTCTCTGGCCAGGCCAGGGGATTTCGGAACTCATACTGAAATAAATCGAACGGGAGCCCTTGTCGCCATGCTTGGGCCCCCACCAATTTGCCAGAATCCCACCACCTCTCTGGGCGCAGGTGGTCTAGGGAGCTCCCTTACGGCCGATGCCGCCGACCCGGAAGGGAGACGATGAACGACGACGACGACGACGACGGCGACGACGACGACGATCGCGAGTCCTTGTTGGGGCGTTCCCGGGCCCTCTTGGGCTGTCCTGGGGGGCCTTTGGGCCGTCTTGGGGCCTTCCCGGGCCATCCTGGCGTGTACTTGGGCCGTTCTGCGGAGTTTTCGGAGGCAACTTGGGCCGACGTGGAGTGCATGAAGCCTGGATGTCGAGCAGGCGAAAAAAACATGGGCGATTTCGGGACCTCCTGGTAGCCTCTTGGAATGGGGAGCTTGAAATGTGGGTTGGTTTTCCCCCTCTTCGGCCTCTCTTGGGGTGTTTCTGGGGCTCTGTTAGGCGTTCTCGGTCGGAGAAAGGGGAGGAGAAAAATATGTTTCCTGGTAGCATCGGACTTACCCCGGGAAAATCGGACACTCCCTGGTAACTCTTTGAGAAGCTTTGAAATTCTCGACCATCTCTGCGGCGGAGGAAGAGAGGAGGAAGAGAGGAAGACGAGGACGGGAGAGGGGGGGGGGGCAATGGAGCGGATGACTTTTGTCGAGGAGGGGGCGGGGGAGGGGCTCGAGGGAAGGCGGGGGGGACGCCGGAGTGGAAGGAGGAGGAAGAGAGGAGGAGGACGAGGACGTGGACGAGAACGAGGGGGGCAAGGACCAGGACGACAACGACGAGGAGGAGGGGCGAACGGGAGGTCATCATATGTTGGCTTCGCCAGCCCCGCCGCCAGTGGTTGGTTGGTTGATTGGCGACCTTCGGCGGGGGCCCCGCAGACGAGGCCCCATCGGAAACATTGCGCCTGCCCCCACAACCCTTGCAGGAGATGCGTGGCTGGCTGGTTGGCGGCCCTCGGCTGGTTGGCTGGTTGCTTCGTCCGTTGGCCTACTGGCGTCTACCACTCCTGCTGCTACTACTACTACTACTACCAATACTACTACTACTACTACTACTACTACTACTACTACTACTACTACTACTACTACTACTATTATTACTACTACTACTATACTACTACTACTACTACTACTACTACACTACTACTTACTACTATACTACTGCTACTACTACTACTACTATTATCACTACTACTACTACACTAGTACTACTAGTAGTACTACTACTACTACTACTACTACTACTACTACTACTACTACTACTACTAGTAGTACTACTACTACTACTACTACTACTACTACTACTACTACTACTACTACTACTACTACTACTACTACTACTACTACTACTACTACTACTACTACTACTACTACTACTACTACTACTACTACTACTACTACTACTACTACTACTACTACTACTACTACTACTACTACTACTACTACTACTACTACTACTACTACTACTACTACTACTACTACTACTACTACTACTACTACTACTACTACTACTACTACTACTACTACTACTACTACTACTACTACTACTACTACTACTACTACTACTACTACTACTACTACTACTACTACTACTGGCGGTCTCGTGCACCACATCACCACGGCTCAACCACCTAGGGAAGAGCGTCCTTGTGGCTGCCTCATTGCCAGTATGTAGCGCGCACCTCTTCTGGGTGAAAGGGCGGGTCTGACATGCTTGCAACGTCAGGCGCTCGCACCGTGGGCAGTTGGGCCAACAGCCCAGGGTGAAGCGCCAGCAACGGCACAGCAGCACACGGGGCGACCCCAGCACCGCCACCCAGGCCGACTAGCGCGGGAAGACGCGAGGCTAGGCCTGGGTGGCAAGCCAAGGGCGGGTCTGACGTGCATGCAGCAACTGGCGCCTGGCCGAGGGCAGCTGGTCCCTACAGCAAAAAGTAAGGCGCAGGCGGCAGCATGGCAGCACACGGGGCGACCCCAGTACCGCCACCCAAGCCTACACGCGCAAAAAGGCGCGAGATGAGGCCAGGATGGCAGGCCAAAATGGCCAGGCGCCCGACGGCGACGCTGCAGTACACGGGTCTGCCCCAGCACCGCCAGCGAGGCCAACGAGCGCAAGTGAACGTGAGGAGGCCGAGATGGCAAGCCAGTTGGCGAGCCAAGGTGGCAGAGTGCACAGGTAGCCATTCGCCTAGCCTAGGCACAGGCTACAGGTGACGCCACGCGAGTGGGGGCGCCGCTATGGGCCCGCCGCACTACAGAAAGCAACAAGTAGACAATTTGGCATGTCCCCACGCGGCCTGTCAAGGCCCTGGAACCTGCCGGGCATTATCCCGCAGGCCTGCTGGCCTGTTCCCTGCGCGATGGCGGCGAAGACCTGCGACGGCAGCGCCCGCGCCTCCCCGCCGAGGTCGCCGCTGCCCCCCGCCTGCCCTGTGGGCCCAAAGATCTGGCGCTCGAGGTCTTCACCGGGGGCCACGTTCAGGGCTGCAGCGCTTGTGACCTGCTGCGGGAGCACGTCCGTCTGCGGTGGCGGGTGGGTCGGCGGCGGCGGCGCATCAGGGGGCGCCGTCGGCGGCGGCGGCGGGGGGCCCATGATGGCCACGGCCTCTGGCGGGACTCTCGCTGGCGGTGGTGGCGGGTCCTCGCTGCCGCGGGCCCCGCTCGCCGGTGGGGCACTGGCGTTGCGAACGGGGGTGGCGCGCGGGGCGACCCCTGTGCCACCCCCGCCGCCCGAGAGGCTGCCCGCCTTCAGGTTGTGGCGGCGCTCGTAGAGCGCCAACTCCCTGTGCGCCATCCCCGGGCGCTCCCTCTTGGCCTTGTTCCGCGTCTTCTTGCTGTACCCCGCCCATTCAGGGTCGTTCAGCCCCCAGGCGACCTGCGCGTAGAGGTCGGTCCACTCGAACGTGGGCAAGCTCTCCCAGGTGAGCCCCTCCATCAACACATAGTGGCCCTCCCACTGCGCCTGGTGTGGAGCATAGCGCTTGAAGACGGTGCCAGCCGCCAGCGGCTCAACCTTGGGCAGGTAATTCAGGAGGTCCACCGCGTTGACCACTGAGACCCCCTCCTTCTTGAGCTTGTCGTAGCGCAGCAGGGCCTTCAGGTCGCGGATGTCCTCCTCGGGATGCTCCGCGTGCATGTAGTACGCGCGCGGCGGGTTCGCCTCCTCCTCTATGAACTCGATGCAGACTCCGTAGGAGGTCGAGTAGCGCGCCCCGCAGTGGCAGTACCAGCGCTGGCCCGTCTCTCCCGCTGCCTCCTGGGCGCGTGAGAGCAGCTGTGACCAGCGATCCGATCGGATCACCGAACAGCATCCCTTGGGATTATCCCAGGCCTTGTTGGCCGCGCACTTGTAGTACATGTTGAACGTGAAGCCCTTGTCACGGTAAAACTGGTCCGTGTAGTCGCCCATGCGGCGGTAGGCCTCCTGCGCCGCGGTGTTACCCTGGCACTCCTCCTTCCAGGCACGTTTGTGTCCCAGGTGGGCGTCTGCAATCCCCGAGGCTTCCAGGACACCCCTCTTCAGCCTTCCCACATCCTCCTCCGCCTCCTCGTCCAGCGCGTCGAGCCACTTCTGGACTCCGTCCTGCGCCTCGGTGGCCCTCACCATGTCCTCCTTCTTCTCCAGGATGGCCCCCAGGCCGCCCAGCATGTGGGCGCGCATGGTCTCGAATTTGAGGACGCCATAGGCCCGCGCCATGCGCTTCAGCGACTTCTTGGATAGGCCGAGCCGCAGCAAGGACTCGATGTCCGTTACCTCCTTCACGGTCTGGGCCTTGGTCAGCTGGGGCCCCTGGTCCTCCGCGTCCACGTCGGGCCGAGGGGCGTTCTCCTCATCACTGGGAGGTTCTTCCTCGAGGGGCGGGGGTGGCGCACGGGGCGGCCCTGGCACCGCCCCCGCCTCCCTCGCCATTGGGCGGCCCACCTCCCTCGCCACTTCTTCCGTGGCTGGGGGGGGCGCCTGTGCTCTCGGGGTCGATGCCCACCCCCGCGCCGTCCGTTGACCTCCGCAGGGCAAGCAAGCCTTCCTTTGAGAGCGCGAACCCCACCAGGACGTCCATGCCCTCCTTGATGTAGTCAAAGCTCGCACGGAACTTCGCCACCCGCTTGTCGGCATGGTCGATGGAGCCTGGGCCCTCGTTCGCGCGCGCAGCGCGCGTCACGGCCTCGCGCTCGGAGATGCCCTCTGACGTCGCCACGCAGTTCGAGCACATGTACAGCTTGTACTGCCCCTCTTTGCCCCTCCTCAGTTCGGGGTATTTCTCGTTGTCTTCCTTGGCCATCGCATAGCGGCGCATCTCCGCACAGCTGAGCTCGTCCACGTACTCCACCGCCATAATCTTCCAGTCGTCCAGCGCCGTGCAGCTCCGACACCAGCCCAGGCGGTACGGCGGTGCCCAATATGCGCCCATGCAGTGGACGTAGCCCGCCTCAGCGTAGTTCTCCTCCGTCATCATTTCTACGTCTTCGAGCGCGGCTGGCGTGCCGTCGCTCGACTGGGGGACCTGGCCGTAGACGGCTTCGTTGCTGCGTCGGCGGTGGCGCTTGCCCCCACGGCCGCTGAGGGCTCCCGTGGTCGCAGCACTCGGTGCCTCGCTGGCGGTCCCGTCGTCCACGGCGCGCTCGCCGTCTGCCGCGCTGCGCGCCCCACGGCCGCCACGGCCACCCACAGCATGCCCCCACCCACCCGCAGGAAGGATGGAAACCACCTAGAACTGATTAGCAACAGTCAAAAGCACCATGTTCTTCTCTTCTTTTCTTGTTGAAAAGTAGTATCGCCTGGCGGCGCCGGCAGCTCTGTCGGTACCGCTTCCCGTCCCCTGGGTCGCCGGCCTGGGCCAAAGCAAGAACCTGAGTTTTTAAAACCTGCTCCAGCAGAAATGTGCTGCAGGGCGCACACAGGCCACATGTTGCACACACGCTCTTGCCCTTGCCCATCGACCACTGTTTGGGGTCCACGCTGAGAAGTGTTTACGCAATGAGAATATCGGGCCGAACGAAAGGGGGGATAGAGAAAGGGGGGTGTACGAAATCTGCTGCATACAGCTGGTTTCGGCCCCGCCGCCGGGCCCATTCCTCGATACATGGGCGCCTCCTGGTGACGGGAGGCGCTGGGAAAATCAGCTACGTGAACTGATTATCTACCCTACCCTTTGCTATCCCCCCCTTTATGTCCCCCCCGCGACTAGCTGCCTTGTGGCATTCGGCACATCTCGTCACCGTGCCTGGAAAAGTAGCCTCTCATGAGTTTCTGGGGACTCGGGGTGTGTCTAGGGGGCCCCCTAGGAGCAGCCCAGGGGCATCTTGGAGACCCCTTGGAGGTATCCAGGGGTCTCGCGGTGGCCTCTGAGGGGGCCTCCTGGGGGTCTCTTTGGGACCTCTTAGGTTCCTGCTGGCGGTCTCGGAGGCCATCTAGGGGGGGCCTCTTGGGGCTCGAAGCGTCAGCTCAATGACCGTCTTGGGAGCCTCTCGGGGCCCTTTGAGCGTGGGGGCCGTCTTGCGCCCTGCTTAGGGCGTTCTTTGCCGTGCTGGACGCGCTGTAGAATGAGAAGCCGAGAAAGTTTTGAATCGTGCCCAAAAGCCCTTCCCCTCCAGTGATCTTTCGGCCTCCCGGGCTGGCCCATCAGGGACGCGGAGACGCCGAAGAGGAGGCGCTCGAGAGGGCTCCAGTCTTTATGTAGAGAGCGTGGCAATCCCGCGCACGCTCCCGAGACCTCCGACAAGCCACTCGGCGATGCGCACGGGTGCGCGAGAGCGACCGGAGTCAGTGGCATCACCCCCTGAAGAGTGCCTGCAATCTGCAGGGGGCATGAGGGCATTCCACTTCGAGCCTCGAGGCACGGTGGCGGATGTCGCGTTGGGCCCCGCGGCAGGAGCGGCTGAGGCAGCTGGAGGAGGCCGCCGAGCGGGCCGCGGCGGCCGCCGAGGCCGAGGCGCGGCTCCAGGAGCTGCTGTCGGGCGGCGAGGAGCCCTCGCAGAGCTCGGTGCGAGACGCGGCCGCGAGCCTCGCGCCCACCAGCGCGCTGCGCGCGCTGGCGGACGCCACGTGCGAGGCGATGGACGCCCGCTGCGAAGTCGCCGCGTCGGCGGCGGAGGCCGCAGGGGCCGCAGGCGCCGCCGGCGCGGGCGGCTCCCGCCTGCAGGCGGCCCTGGCCGAGGCCAGCAGCGCCTCCGCGCGGCTGGCCGAGGCGCTCCAGTGCGCAGGCGCGGGGCAGCCCACGCCTCCCGACTCCCGGGCGGAAAGGGAGGGAGCGGGCCAGGAGGATCACAGCGTGAGGGGGGGGTACCTCTCCGATGGCTGCGGGGATCCCCGCCACCCTCGGGCCCGAGGTCGCTCTCATCCGCTCTGGGTCCTCCGCTGGGAAGCTGGGCGGCGGTGATCGGGCGGCCGAGGTGGCCAGGAGGGGATGCAGATGAGGGCACAGGTGGAGAGGGGGGGGGGCGAGGAGGGGGAGGGAGGAAAAGGACACGGACGGAAGGCCAGCGTCGTCGGCGTCGGCGCCCCCGCACCTGCAGGAGGGGGGAAGACTGGCGGGGGAGCCAGTCATCCGCCGTCGCGAGGGACAAAAGCAGGGCTGCGGCAGCTCCCCAGGCCCCACCCCTCCGCTTGAACGTATCGGGGCCAGGCCGATCTGCGAGGGGGTCCTGGGTCGGAGACCAGCGCAAACGCGCGTGGTGTTTCTTGTCCGCTACGCACTACGGCAGGCGAGGAGAAGAGAGAGCGAGAGAGAGAGTGAGAGAGGAGAGAGAGGAGAAGAGAAGGGGAAGGAGAGGGAGAAGAAGGAGGAGGAGGAGAAGGATAATGAGAGGAGGGGGGAGGAGGAGGAGGAGGAGGAGGAGGAGGAGGGAGGCGGAGGCGGAGGCGGAGGAGGAGGATAATGAGGAGGAGGAGAAGGAGACGGAGAGGACGGGGAGGAGGAGAGAGAGGAGAGAGAGAGAGAGAGGAAAAGGAGGAGAGAAGCAGGAGGAGGAGGTGGAGGAGGAGGAGAAGGAGAAGGAGAGGGGACAAGAACATAAGGAGGAGGCGGAGAAGGAGAGGGAACGGAAAAGGGTGAGGGGGAATGCTTGTCAGTTCAGCGGAGTGGAGGGAGGGGAGGGGAGGGGAGGGGAGGGGAGGGGAGGGAGGGATGGGTAGTGGGATAGCGCTGAAGTACCGCAGTGCCCAAAGCCATCGCCGAGGACCTGCGCGCAAAACGCGCAGTCCTGAAAGTGACCACGACCCAATCCACGCTCGGAAGCTAGGCGAGGGCTGGCAAATCCGTGGTTGCTAAAACGGTCTTCCCAGAAAAACCAAAACATATACCCGGAATCATATTCAGCGCGCTAAATCGTAAATGGGCTGCTTCCCAGAAGAGAAAGAGCGCGTTCTGTGGTCGCTTGGAGGGGGGGGATTTGGAACCGGACCCCCCCCCACCCCCCCCCCCTCCCCCCCCCCCTCTCTCGTGACGGAGGGGAGAGGGGGGGGTTCGAACCCCTCCCCCTCCTGCTTCCCCTCTCCTCGGGCCGGCGCTGCGCTTGGGTCGGCGGCGGCTGGCGACGGCGGCGGGGACGACGATTTCCATTTCTTGGCCAGCGCCGGCCCCTGCGGCGGCGGGCGGCGGTGGCGGGGAGCGTCGACAAGAACGACGGTGGTGGTGGTGGTGGTGGTGGTGGTGGTGGTGGTGGTGGTCGTGGGTTGTGGTGGTGGTGGTGGTGGCGGTGGTGGTGGTTGTGGTGGTGGTGGTGAAGTGGTTTGTGGTGGTGGTGTTGGTTGTGGCGGTGTGTGGTGGTGGTGGTTTGGTGGTAGTGTGGTGGTGGTTTGTGGTGATGGTGGTTGTGGTGGGTTGTGGTGGTGGTGGTTGTAGTTAAAGTGGTGTGGTGGTGGTTTGTGGTGGTGGTGGATTGTGGTTGTGGTTTGTGGAGGTGGTGCTTGTGGTGGTGGTGGTGGCGGTGGTGTGGTAGTTTGTGGTGGCGGTGGTGGTTTGTGTTACTGGTAGTGGTGGTGGTTGTTGCGGTGCTGGTGGTGGTGTGGTAGATTGTGGTGGTGGTGGTGGTGGTGGTGGTGGTGGTGGTGGTGGTAGTGGTGGTGGGTTTTTGTGGTGGTGGTGGTGATGGTGAGTTGTGGTGGTGGTGGTGGTGGTTGTGGTGGTGTGGTGGTGGTGTGGTGGCGGTTTGTGGTGGTGGTGGTGGGTTGTGGTGGTGGCGGTGGTTTGTGGACGTTTGTTGTGGTGGTGGTGGGCGGTGGTGGTGGTGGTTGGTGGTTTGTGGTGGTGGTGGTTGGGTGTGTGGGTGGTGGTGGTTGTGTGGTGGTGATGGTGTGGTGATCGTGGTGGTGGTAGTGGTGGTGGGTTTTTGTGGTGGTGGTGGTGATGGTGGTTGCGGTGGTGGTTGTGGGTGGTGGTGGCTGGTTGGTGGTGGTGGTGGTTGTTGTGTGGTGTTGTTGTTGTTGTTGTTGGTGGTGGTGGTGGTGGTGGTGGTGGTGGTGGTGGTGGTGGTGGGTTGAGGCGGTGGGTGGTTTTGGTGGTGGTAATGGTGGGGGTGGTAGTGGTGGTAATCGTCGCTGCGTCCCCGCCGTCGCGGGCGCCAGCGCCGGCGCTGCTGGCCGCCGCCAGCGCCGGCGTCGAGGGGGGGGGTTGAACTCCCCCCCCCCTGGGCTGTCTCTGGTCATCGTCGCTGGCGTCCGTCAGCGCCGGCGCCGGCGCAGAGGGGGGGGGGGTATGAACCCCCCATTTGGGAGGGGGGGGAATTGGGACGGGGGGGGTTTTGGGGGGAGGGGAGTCCCCCTGGTTTTGATCGACGGCGCCGAGTATTGGGGGGGGGCCCACCCCCCGGTTTGAAACGCGCCGCCGAATGTTCCCAAGGCAAGCGCCCGTGAAACGCGTTCTCTCCCCAAAGAAGACAACAATTTCCTGGAGTTCCGTTTTAGCAGCTACGGGCTTGGCAGCCTTCGCCTGACGTCTAACACGCGCTGCAGCGGCACGCCGCACCAGCGACGACACAGGCCCGACCCGGCTCCCCACGGCAACCCGCGCCTCCTCCAACGAGCGAGGCTGGCGCGCGCGCTGCACCAGGCGTGAGGGCGAAGGCAAGGCCGGCGGCGCTCGAGGGCGCCGCCGAGGAAGCCCCACGGCCGCAAGCGTGGCGTGGCGACAACCGCCAGGGGTGGCGGCCTAACGCGGCGCGAGCCGACGCACCACCGAGGCCAGGCGAGGCGAGGCGAGGCGGAACCCGCTCGGCCCGGCACACCACCCACCCCACTCGGGCGCGAATAGCTGGGGGTCGATAGATCCGGGGGGGATAGACCTCCTACACTGACACGTCGATTAAGGAATTGGCCGTTCTCGGTTCGCGAGAGGGCGTCGCGGCCGCCATTTTTGCGGGTCCAGGTCCGTCGATTTCTGTCCCGGGCCGCTTCCCCTAAGGGGAGGTTTGCTACAGGGAGGTTTGTCCACCGCCGACGAAATGGGAGGAGGGGGGGGAAAGGTCCGTATCGTTTCGCCGATCCCTCTCCGCGTCTCCATCCCCATTCCGACCCCCACCATCCCACCACCCCGGTTGGGGATATGCCCCTCGAAACTCAAAGGGCCCATGTCCCCATCCAGAGGGGGTTTCGCAGGCCACGCGCGTGGGGGCAGGGATCGGTTGAACGATGCTCAAGAGGCCCCGTGGGTGCCCCTACGCCCCTCCCCCCCAAGGGAAGAGGGCGCTCCACCTCCGCCACCTCCGCCGGTCTCGCGGCCGGTCGGTGGCCAGTTTTGCCTCCTCCGGGCGGGGCGTTTCCCGGCCACCCCGGAGCCTCTCGGCGGGGCCATTGCCATGCAAGCAGAAGGGGGAGGGGGGGCGGAGGGAGGGAGAGAGGGGGCGAGAGAGGGGGGCGAGGGAGGGGGGGGGGGGGGGGGGAGGGAGGGGGGGGGGGGGGGAGCGGGAGGAGGGAGGGGGGGGGGGGCGAGGGAGGGAGAGAGGGGGCGAGAGAGAGGGGGAGGAGGACGGGGAGGAGGACGGGCAGGGGAGGCAGCCTACGACAGCGTCATCCAGACCCTTGGGCCGCGCCCGCCCAGCGGGCCCTCCTCGCAGGGAGGCGCCACACGAAACGGGGGTGGTGGGATGACGCCCCCTCCCTGGCGCGGACAACTGGGCCCCCGATTGGAAGAACGTTTCGGGCGTCGGCGAGCAGACCGCTCGTGCGCGCCCGCGGTGGGGGAGGCTCCGGCTTTTCCTGCGCGTTGGCGTGCGCGCTTCGGCGCCTATAGGGAAGAGCGGCGCTGCTTCGGGGCAGCCCCCCCCCCCTGCGGCCCCAAACAGATTGAGAGGTAGGGGGAAACTTTCAAGCAGTGCCTCAAAAGCGCAGGTAACACAGAAACTCTACTGGTGAGCGTCTGGACGCGCCTGGTTGCTCGCCTGGGGTGGCGCCAGCGGGCGAACGGGTGATCGCACCTGACGACAAGCGATCCAGGCGGTCTGTGCTCGTTACACGTGAGGGTGGAGCTGGTGCTCCCCGACGTGTTGGTCGGGGCTCGCGTCCCACCGCCAGTGGGCCAATGCGGGCACATGGAACTGGGGAGAAGCTCGAACCCCACCCCCCGTGGCCCAATGCGGCTCGTGGAAATTTGCCGAACACGCATCCCACCCCCAGTGGGCCAGTGCGGATCGTGGAAGAGCTTGACCATGGACCTAGTAGGAGGACTCGGGGCAAAGTTGGGGGCGGTAAGCGTTGTGCTCTTTGTCGCCAAGGTCGGGCGCTGTTGCTCCAAGTCGTTTGCTCACCGATGCGCGGCTGTTGCCCGCCGTGGTGGCCAGTTACATGGTCGCCGACGCAGTGCACATCCCAGTCTTTGGTTCGCAGGTCGAGCTGGTGCCACCGACGTAATGCGCGCCGTCGGGGTGCCAGTGCCCTCCGTGCGGCTTGACTGCGTGAAACTCGCGGCAGTGCAGATCACGCTGGTGCGTGACGGGGCGATGGTGCTCCTGGTCGCGCTGATCAGCGATGAGTGGCAGATGCCCGTCGTGGTGATCAGCAACGTGATGCTCAACAGCGAGATGCGGGTATTCGGGGGATCGTTCGCCCCTGGCTGATTCAGGGTCAAGTTGCTGGTTTTGGACGTGCTGGTCCACGAGTCTCTGTTGCTACTCGTCATGGTGATCAGCGACGTGGTGCTGACGGTCGTGCGGGTCTCTTTCGTGGGCGTCAGATTCGAGATGATGCTCTCCGGCGTTCCACTCGATGTCGGGGCGGCGTTGCCCGCAGAGGTGCCCAGCCACGTGGTGCTCGAGACAGGACCCGCCCCTCTCGCGGGCGGCGGGGCGGAGTTGGTGCTCCCGTGCGCACTGCGGAAAATTACGCTGCCGGTGCCAGTAGTGGTGCGCGACGGCGCTGTGGTTAAGAGTCAGTGTCCGTCCGACGCGTGGGCGTTGGGGTCGGGCCGTTGCTGTCCGCCGTGCTGCTCGACGTCGAGGTGCTGGCGGTGCCTGTTGCGCGGCCCAGTGGTGTGGCGCACGGGGTGGCGCTCGCCCCCTCTGGTGCCCGCCAGTGCCGGGCAGGTGCCTGCAGAGGTGCTGCGCGACGAAGCCCTGCTGGCGCCCATCACGTTGCTCGACCCGCCTCCAGGTGGGCCCGCGCGGGACGTGGAGGCCAGAAGGACCAGGCGGTCGTCCAAAGCGACCAGGCCAACCAGACGGCCCAACAGACCCTCTCGCCAACGCGCTGGTCCACGGCGCGCTGCTCCTTGCCGTCTTGGCTGCCAGCGGCGCACTCGAGGCAGTGCTCGCCCCTCTCGTAGAATATCGGGTCGAGCTGCTGCGTTTCGACGCGCTGCCTTCGCGCCGGGGCGTGCGTGCACGTGGCGGCGTTCCGCGCCGTCCTGCCCGAGGCCGCCCGCGCCCCGCGCCTGGCTGTCGGGGCCGAGCCGTCGCTGCCCGGCGCGCGCGTCTCAACGGGGCGCCGCCGGTGCGTGCCGCAGAGCTCAGCGCCGCGGTACTCGGCAGTGCTCGCCCCCCCCCGTGGTCGCGGCGGTCGGCCTGCTTCTCTCAGGAGGGGAAAAGGACACAGACGCAATGAATCGTCGATTCCCCAGAGAATAGGGGCAAGTATGGGAAGTGGGGGGGGAAGACAAAAACCCAGAACATATTGGAAAATGCGGGGAATCTTCATTCTCTCCGACGTTCTGATACGCGTCGGGAAAAGGGCGGCCGTCGTGCGGCCGGGCGACGTGGTGCTCGAGGGCGTGCTCGCCCCACTGGTGCGCATCGGGGTCCAGCTGGTTCTCTCCGATGTGCCGCCCGGATCTCGCGCCCCGCCCCCGGCGGGCCAGTGCGGCTCGTCGCAATTGGGGATGAGCTTACATTCCGCCTCCAGTGGGCCAATGCGGCTCTCGCAAATCAGCTGAAGCACGAATCGCACCCCCTACAGGCCGATGCTGCTCGCAAAAAAGTTCGGCCGTGGACTTAGCAGGGCGGGGTCAGAGCTGGAGGGTGTGAACGTCGCGCGCATGGATGCCAGGGTCGAGCTCATGTTGCTTCCAGTCGATCTGCTCCCCGATGAACAGCTGGTGCCCGCCGCGGTGGTCAGCGACATGCTACTCGACACAGTGCGCGTCCCAGTCTTTGGATCGCAGGTCGAGCTGGTGCTCCCCGACGTGGCGCGCAACGTCGGGGTGCCAGTGCCCGTCGCGCGGCTCCGCGGCGCGGTATTCGCGGCAGAGCAGGTTACGGTCACGCAGATCAGCGACGCTCGGCAGATGCCCGTCGCGGTGGTCAGCGACTTTATGCTTAACGTCGAGATGCGGGCATCCGGGGGAATATTCACCCCGCGCTGATTCAGGGCCAAGCTGACGGGCATGGACGCGCTGCTCCACGAGGCCCTGCTTGCGCCCGTCATACATGGTGGTCAGCGACGTGTCGCTAACGGTCGTGCGCGCCCCGTTCGTGGTCGTCAGAATCGGGATGAGGCATGCCGCTCGATGTTGGCGTGGCGATCCCTGTAGAGTTGCTCGGCCACTTGGCACTCGAGGAAGGACTCGCCCCTCTCGTGGACGTCGAGGCGGAACTGGCGCTGCTTAACGCACTGCGTAACGTTGCGCTGCTGGTGCTGGTAGTGGTGCACGGCGACGCGGCGGTTGAGACAGGACTCGCCCCTCGCCTGTGTGTCGGGATCGGGTTGCCGCTGTCTTTCGCGCCGGTGCTCCCCGACGTGCTGGCCAGAGCCCGCTTCCCACCGCTCGCGGGCCAAAGCGGCTCGTGGAAGTGGGGGGGGCTCGCCCCCCACGACCTGTCGGCCAATGCGGCCCGTGCAAATAGGCCGAAACACGCACCCGACCCTCAGCGGGCCAGTGCGGATCGCGGAAGAATTTGGCCAGAGGCTCAGCCGGACGCAGGGCGGCGCTGGAGGCAGTGAAGGTCGCAATCATGGTCGTTCGGGTCTAGCTGCAGCGCCCAGCCGCGCTGCTCCCCGATGCGCGGCTGGCGCCCGTCGCAGTGGTCAACGACCAGGTTCTCGACGCAGTTTTCGCCGCGATCGTGATTTCGCGCGTCGGGCTGATGCCCCCCGACGCGATGCGCGCCGTCGAGGTGCCAGAGCCCGTCCTGCAACTCAGCGGCGAGGCTCTCGCTGCAGCGCCCCTCTCGCCAGTGCACGACGTGGCGCTGGCGCGCCTGGTCGCGCTGTTCAGCGACGCGCTGCTGGCGCCCGCCTTGGTGGCCAGCGATGTGTAAGTCAACCCCGTGATGCGAGTGCCCTGGGCTGGTCTCGCCCCTTTCGCGGTCGCCAGGGCCCAGCAACCGCTCTCGGCCACGTCGCTCCACGAGGCTCCTCGAGAAGCGCCGTGCACGGCGGCGTCTCTGGAATTGTTCCCGGGGGCGCTTCCGGGAACATCTGAAAGCCTCCCCCAGGGGTGTGCCGGATGGGACTTGACATGGTTGCGGCGGGCATCAGCTTTCAAGCAGTGGCGAAGCGTACTGGCTCCCCTATAGCCCTACCCAACAATGTTCTAAGAACCTTTTGTGGTTTCCACGAAATGTTCTTAGAACATTTCTGGCTGGGACTGTCTTGGTTTATCACATCTGGTTTATGTTCTAAGATTTTTTTGTTCTTAGAACATATTTGGGTTCAAAGAACATTTCGTGGTATGACTATAGGAATGCCGGGACGGTCGGCCCCTGCTCAAAGCGTGGCACTCGACGCAGACATCGCCCCTGTCGTGAGCGCGTTGGACGGGCTGCTGCTCGACTACGTCGCGGTCGGCTTCGTCGTGCAGGGCGGGGTCAGGTGCTTGGCGTTGTGCGTAGTGCACTCGGCACTTGTGCTCTTTGCGTCGTTTGTCGCCGTCGGGTGCGAGCCGTGGTGAGCTGGCCGCGACAGCGGGGATAAGGCGTCTGCTCGCTCTTACTTGGTCTCTGTGTGTCCCACTGGCGCGGCGCTCCGAGAAGCGGGGTCCAGTGGTGTTTGCCGAGCATGCGAGGCGGGACAAGCTAAGGCCCTCGATGTCCCCGCGTCGTCAGACCAAGGCAAAATTGAGCTGCGCAGTACTCTTTGTGTGCTGAGCGATCCCAGCACACGTGTCACAGCTGCGGAGTGGTGGAGAGTCGGGGCCACAGCAGAGGCGAGCCCCGTCCGCGCGACCCACGCCCTCGTTGTGCGGAGCGTTGTCGGCCCCCAGACGTCCTCACGTTTAGGGCCTCGTCACTCGTCGCGCCGATGGGCTCGTGTGGGGGCGTCTTCGACATCGCCCTTCGAGATGGCAGGGATGCGCGACTCGTCGGGGATTTGGCGCCCGCTTCGGTGTTTACGGAGCTTGTGAAGGAGATTGCGCGTATGCGAGCTCAGATCCAGCGAGCCCCGTCGGTCCCGGTGCCGCAGTCGACGGGGGCTGCTTCTGGCATCGGCGGTTCCCGCTAAGGCCCTGGCACGGGTCCCCACGTTTGCGCGGGCGGGACTGGTGTCTCCGCCGCATCCCCCGCCTTCAGCGAAGCTGACGTCTTTGCTGTCCTGGGCCCTGACGTCTAAGCGGTGTGGCCCCTCGCCGATTGGATGGGGGCGCGAAGTCCGACCCGCCGCGACCCGGACGGCGGCGCCGCCGTTGGCCAACTTTCGCAACCCAATGCTGGTTTTACCCTCCTCCTCCTCCTCCTCCTCCTCCTCCTCCTCCTCCTCCTCCTCCTCCTCCATCCTCCTCCTCCTCCTCCTCCTCCTCCTCCTCCTCCTCCTCCTCCTCCTCCTCCTGTGAAGATGCCATGTTGGCCGTGGGTTGGGTTCGTAGCCTGGTTGGTGACCATGTCCCCCGCACCTTCCTGGAGGATGGGGGGAGCGGGGACGGGGGCTGGGTCCGCCCGGTCGGACAGCGCTTCGGGCGCCGCAGCGCTGCGGGTGTCTCGGTGGCCCCGCCTTGGTTCTCAACGGGATCCGCCCTGGCGGTTGTATCGGTAGGTATGTGCGGTGGTGGCATTGGTGTAGTCCATGGCCGGCTGGTGGCGGCGACCCCTTTTTCCGAGGTGGCGGGAGGGTATCTGACCGCGGATTTCCCAGGGTCCTCGTTCGGCGCCGCAGTCGTTGGCGCTCATACTGACAATGGAGGTGCACAATGGAGGTGCTGACGATGGACAGCTCTGGTTTTTGACAGGAAGACCCTCAGGTCTGCATTCAGGCTGGTTTGCTCTGCGCTGGCGGAGGCGATTTTTTTTGTTTCGAGCTGGTGGCATTTCTGGGGCAGTGTTACCTGGCTGGCGGTCGCGATGTTCACCGTGGTTTCGACGCTCATCATGGTGTCTGCGAGCCTGTGGTGCTCCTTTTCGAGGCCGTGGGGCAGGGCCTCGTTTTGATCGGAGGCTTCCTGGACACCAGATCAGGACCTCTATGCTAGCCATGCTTCCCATGTTCGTCTAGGTCTTCATCCGAGTCGTCGTGGTGGCCTGATGGCTCTTGACGCTCGACGCAATGCGGGAGGCTTCTGGTGTGTTCTGTGCGATCCCGTGACTGGCCGTGTGGAGCGACGCCGTCGGGACGTCCCATGTTCGACTACACTCAGGAGGGAAAGAAACACACAGACACAATTAATCGTCGACTTCCAAGAAAATATTGGAAAACATGGGAAGTGGGGTGGGGGAAGACAGAAATCCAGAACATATAGGAACATATGTTTCTTTAATTTGTGTGTACTTTATTCCCCATATCCTAAGATGGGGTTCTTGTTATTACTTGGACGCCTCCTACTCCCTCTCCCTCCTCCTCTTTCCTCCTCCCCTCCTCCTCTTTTCTCATACTCAGACCCAGTCATACTCAGACTTACTCATATTCAGACTTACTCATACTCAGAACTACT